ACACTGAGATAGTTATTTCCGGACTGCATAGGACACAAAGAGGATTTGTGTTACTCTATTTTCCCTTTCTCTCTCCCTCAAAAGGGCTAAAGAGAAGTGTGGGGAAGAACAAAAGAAGTGAAGCACTTTGCAAATGTGTCACGCAGTTTCAGGCACCACCACCAATTTCAATTGGATAAGTCAATGGTATTAAAAGGGGAAAGCACTCTTAATGGCAACGCAAGTGGCACAGACAGGGTCCATATTGTTGAATTTGGAGCACATCCCACTGATTGTAAGGAATACCAACTTTTGACAATTCAGCTTCCACGTCGATGATGTGCAACTCCGTTCATATCTTCTATTCTCCCAACTTTGCACTCCTTTTAATGTTTAATATGAGAAGCGACTTCAATTTCAGGGTAATTTATGTCTTCCAATGTTAACTCAGGCGTTGCTTTGGTGACTGTGGCAAACTGATCCTCTTCACTGGAACATTATGCTCCCGCCTCTACTGCTTGCACATTACGGCTTCAAGTCACAATAGGGTGGTATAAGGCTTAAGATCATAAAAGAAATTTAGGAAATAATGGGGTGACCGTAGCTTAATCGAGTTAGGCTAATCGAAGGGGAATATACTGAAGGACTGTTATTCTTTTCTTAATCTGCAGTGATCAAGAGAAAGCCTACATCACGAGGTCAGCCGATATCTGCATTGTTATGTTCAAAGGGACTAGATAACGTGTTCCTGCTCATTAAACATTTTCAGTCCCATAGCACCATACATCCTCAAGAAGGACATAGAAAAACAAACTGACTACAGGGGTAGTCAAATAAGACATCCCCATCACTCAAAATGATGGGAACAGAACCCACCTCCAGGTAACGTTTCAGGCTCCTCAAACACCCTATATTGGTTTGTGATCTATGTGAAAAAAATGGAGCAATTTCGACCCCATTCCCATTTATTCATCATATGTGCCTGTGTGTACGCATACGCATAGTGCTTAAATCAAATTATCACCGCCAGCTCTTACACTCAAAATCAAATCGTGCCGCACAGGTTGAATAGCGAATAGCCGATAGAGCTGTGTGTGTTGTGGGTCCGTTGTGGCGAATGCATCCATCAGCTTGTAGCAATCGCCACTGGGTTAAAATAACGAAGGCATAAGAACCTCAACCACCAGACATCTATATCTACTGGATATCCATATGGACTCGTCCACACGGAACAAATGAATGCTACAGCATCCATTTGATGAAGAGCTTTCACAATGAGGGTCGGGTGGTTCTGCGTTTAGTCAGTACATGCGACAGGAGAATGGAATGTCATTTCACTTTGAAATCATTGGGAGCACAGATGGAGAGGTGCATTGTAGTGTCGAGCCGGTTCAACTAACAACACTTTTAATGAGCCAAAATGTACCGCACTCACTCCAACGCACGTTCAAAGTCACACGCCTTTCCATCACATCAGCGGAACGAGGGATATAAAAATCGCCTATTTTCGTATTTACAAATGGGAACTCTCTCCAACGAGCACCGTGTACTATTTTACGATTCCACCAGTCAGAGTTGGTTGCAGCATTAAAATTTTCACCTACTTGAAGAGAGTAATTGTTCATGTTCTGCTTTTCACCAAAATTGTGCTAGAGTACGCACTCGAATATTTTTGCATTCTTTTAACAAATAGCAATGTCAACTGAGAGGAGGGGGTCACAAGTGATTTCTAAACCGACCAGTCATCCATAATGCCGGAACTGATAGTAATAAGGGCTTGACTGGTGTCAAACTCGCAACATTTGCTATGCCTCAACCTTCACCAAAAGCAAGAAGGCAATATGATGCAAATCTCTGGCATTCATTAAAGGCATCATATGTCAACAATTTACACCAGACCATCCATTGGTCTCCAACTTTGCAGTAAGATATGGGACCTAGAAGTAGCATCAAGCCATCACAAATAGTGGGAGCGAAATCGTTTATTTGTAGGCCAAGCCAGATAAGGACAGAACCAAGTGTCTGTCTTATGTAATTCACCTTCGTCAATGAAGTTCACCGCCTGAGCAGAGCGCTCCAAGCACTGGCTTCATCATATTCTGCATCCTTCGTCATTCACTCCACAGATGTGAAGTGCCATTCTAATTCGGAGGCTGTAGGCTAGAGGCTGCGTTTGTTTCACGTGTCTTTCCTCAATTGGTGCTTAAAATCATGGGTCATTACCTCCGTCAATAATGCCCTTAAAACAAAACCCCTCAGGTAGACATACCTATTTCACACAATTCGCACATCTCGCATCACCATAGCTTCTGGTTAGGGACTACACGGACTGCTTTATTTTTCCGCTCCTACTGACGAGGACGCACATCAGTTTT